CCCCGGGGCCCGACGGGGGGACCGGGGCCGGGGGGGGGGAGGGTGGGAGGCGGAGGCGTGAGGACGGCGCGCGGCGCAGCCCCGAGGGGCCCGAGTCGTCCCGCCCTGCTGTGTCGGGGCGGGGTTTGGGGCATCCGGAGGCGGGTCAGTGGCACGTCTGACAAGGAGAAAGACGGAAGCCAGGCTTCGGGAGCCACCCTGTCGACTCCCGCCTGGCTCTGGCGCGTGCTGGGCCTGGGGCCTCCTTCCTGCCCGGGCTCTGCGTGTTCCCGCCCAGGATCCGAGCCGACGCTCCCTGCTGTGCCCCAGGCCTTGAGCTGCTCCACGGGGCTGCATAGTGGGGCGGGCAGTGCACTTATTAGCCTGTAGTGGGAGCGTTTGTGTCCTGCCCACCCTGGGTGGCCCACAGTGACCACGGTCGGGCCATGGGGACCGCACTTGTGTACCATGAGGACATGACAGCTGCCCGGCTGCTCTGGGAGGAGTAAGTGTGACCTGGCAGGGGTGGGGGATGAGGAGGGGCTCTGGACTCTGAGCTCTCTGTCCCTTCAGCCCCGAATGCGAGATCGAGTGTCCCCAGCGCCTGACTGCAGCTCTGGAGGGCCTGCAGCAGCGTGGCCTGGAGCAGAGGTGTCTGCGGCTGGTAGCCCGGGAAGCCTCAGAGGCAGAGCTGGGCCTGGTGCACAGGTCAGACCCTGGGTGGGCGTCAGGCCCCAGCTGGCCAGCACCTGCCAGAGCCTCCCCCACGTGCCTCAGTTTCACGGTTGGATGGGTGGGTGAGGGAGCATTGAGGTGGGCAGTCCCGCTGGGGGTCCAGGCCCTCGTTCTCTTCTACTTGCTCCTCCTGGTGACCCTGCTCTGCCTGCCTGCCCCTCTGCAGCCCGGAGTATGTGGCCCTGTTGCGGGGGACCCAGGCCTTGGGCACCCAGGAGCTCCAGGCCCTGTCTGGACAGTACGATGCCGTCTACTTCCATCCGGTGGGTGCTCTGGGGACACACCCACCCACTCACCCAGTCTCACATCCCAGTACTTGAAACTGTTCTCGGCCAATGTTCTGGGTGCCAGAGACCTGCTGGCTTCTAGCACCCGGGACTGGCCTGGCCCGTTGTGCTCAATGCTTGGTGACCTGCAGCCTGGCACAGGTCTTGGTAGAGCCTGTGAGGGAAAGTGGGCAGGGGCTTATCTGCACCTCCGTCCCCACAGAGGACCTTCCACTGTGCCCGTCTGGCAGTGGGTGCCGCGCTGCAGCTGGTGGACGCGGTGATGACGGGAGCTGTGCGCAATGGTCTTGCCCTGGTGAGGTGAGAGCTGCCCCTCCCCAGCTGCCCTGCCTGTGGGTGGCCCTGTGAGGACACAGGATGACCACTGTCACCCCCAGGCCTCCTGGGCACCACAGCCAGCGGGCTGCCGCCAATGGATTCTGTGTGTTCAACAATGTGGCCATAGCGGCCAGACATGCCAAGCAGAAACACGGACTGCACAGGTTTGTGCCAGTTTGGCTGCAGAGGGGGTCCAGACCAGACAGGAAGGGGACAGACTGGGCCTCTGGGAGACCCTGTCCCCCCCCATCCTGGGCCTGTTCCTGGCCTGGAGGGGGGAGGCCCTGCCCCTCGGTGGTCCCAGAGCTGTCTGTCTGCAGGGTCCTCATCGTTGACTGGGATGTTCACCATGGCCAGGGCACCCAGTATATCTTTGAGGATGACCCCAGGTAAGCTGGAGGTGGGGACCGGACTCTTCCCTGCGTCCTCGCTTTCCAGGACACATAGCCTGGCCTGGGAAAGTCTGAGGCGGGGAGACATGGCTGTGTGCTCAGGGGGTCAGGGTTCTGTGATGAGCCCAGGGGGCTGAGGGTCCTGACCGCTAACCTCTGACCCCGGCTGGCTGTTGCAGCGTCCTTTACTTCTCCTGGCACCGCTATGAGCACAGGCGCTTCTGGCCTTATCTGCGAGAGTCAGATGCAGATGCTGTCGGGCAGGGGCAGGGCCTTGGCTTTACTGTCAACCTCCCCTGGAACCAGGTGCTTGCCCCTCACCCCAGGCCCCCACCCAGAGCCCCTCACCCAGCCCACATTCCCCTCCCTGAGCGTAGCCCAGGGCACCGTGCCAGGATCACCCCTGGAGTCCAAGCCCCAGGGGTGGAGACCCCACAGTCCTCCCTGGCAGGGCCAACACTGACGCCCCGTGGCTGCAGGTCGGGATGGGAAATGCTGACTATATGGCTGCCTTCCTGCACGTGCTGCTGCCCCTGGCCTTTGAGGTGACTGCATGTGGGGTAGCAGTGGTCTTGATGGCAGGAGAGTGGGAGGGGATTTGGGGCCCCCTTCATTCCACCAGAGAGGAACAGAGCCCTTCGGGGCGAGGAGGGTCTCTCTGGAGGGCCCCCTCCCCTTCGCTGCTGCTCCAGCTCCACTTCTGCCCCGCCCCACCTGGCCCTGCCTGCAGTTCAACCCTGAGCTGGTCCTAGTCTCTGCAGGATTTGACTCAGCAATCGGAGATCCTGAGGTGAGGGCTGGGTCTGGCTGAGGAGGGCTTCTGGGGTCCTGGGGCCAGGCCCTCATCATACCTTGCTCTGGTTTCCAGGGTCAGATGCAGGCCACTCCAGAGTGCTTTGCCCACCTCACTCAGTTGCTGCAGGTGCTGGCTGACGGCAGGGTCTGTGCTGTGCTGGAGGTGACTGGGGCGAGCAGGGAGGGTGCATGGGCCAGAGGCTGCAATGCAGTCAGAGGAGTCCTGCCACTTGGGGCACGGTGTCCTGCCTGGGACAGTGACATCCCTGCCCTGTCATGTCTCTGCCCTCCCCCTTCTCCCAGGGTGGCTACCACCTGGAGTCACTCTCCCAGTCTGTGTGCATGATGGTGCAAGCGCTGCTGGGCGACCCTGCCCCACCCCTGTCAGGGCCCATGGTGCCACACGGCAGGTGCGAGGGGCGGAGGGTGGGATGGGCTAGGGCCGGGGGACCAGGCCTCACTGATTTTGCCTCTCCCCACAGCGCCCTGGAGTCTATCCAGAGTGTCCGGGCAGCCCAGGCCCCTTACTGGATGAGCCTCCGGCAGCAAGGTCAGCACGGCCTGGGTCGTGGCGGGACTGCGCTGGCGGGATTGCGCCTCAGGCTCCCACGCAGTGGCTTTGACTCTGAATTACCCCTTAGGTGCAGCCCCTGTACTGAGTTCCAGCACCTGCTCCCCCGAGGGGAAGCCCTCGCCTCTGCTGCCCTGGGGGCCCGAATTCAAGGCAGCAGGTACCCAGACCATGGCTGCCCTGAGCTCCCTCCTGGACAAGCTGTGCCTCAACCCCACGCCCCCTGTCCGCACAGCTGTTGCCTTGACTGCACCAGATGCTGCGCTGGTCCTGCCCCCGGGTGTCCTCTGTCAGGAGAGGTCAGCCCTGCCGGAGGAGATGCAGGCCTGGGCCAGGTGGGCAGGGTGGGCCTGGGGAGAAGGCTGGGCCCTGTCTGCACGTGTGCCTGTCTGTGACTCATTCTGGGTCCTGTGTCCCTCTCGTTTGTCCACCACAGGCCACACAAGGCCCTGGCCCAGGACAAGGCCCTCACTGCACTGGGGAAGGTCCTGTATCTCTTGGACAGGCTCCTGGATGGACAGGTGGGGACACCTGGGAGGGGTTGGGGGTGGCTGTGGAGCCAGGGGCAGAGCCCAGGACCTGCCCATGACAGGTGGCTTGTCCAGGGGAGGGCTGGGTGGTACAGAACCATGTGGACATGAGTGTTGCCTTGTGCCTGGGACCTTCCCCAGAACAGCCCCCATGTACAGGGTTCAGGAACAACCCCCCTCAGTTCCCTCAATTAAATGCTCTTTGGCCAAGAGATAAAGGGGATGACTTAAAGTACAATTTTAAGCATCTTATTTGCAGAAGTGGAGCAATTTGCTGTCAGATTGCACAGGTGACAGCCATGTAGACAGGGACCAAAAGAAGGAGTAGATAGGGCTATTTACCTGATTGGGGAGTTCCACTCCACGGCTGTTATTTATCCCACAGGTGAGCAGTGGGATTGCAGCCACCCCAGCCCCTGCCACAGCGGCCACCCTGGACGTGGCCATTCGGTGTGGCCTGTCCCATGGAGCCCAGAGGTAAGCCTCATCTGGCTGGCCTGAGACTCCAAGGGCAGGGCCACATTGGGAGGGCTCTGGGGATGGACTCAAGGCAGGGTAAGTGCAGACTATCCAGGGGCCAACTCTTCCTCCAGACTGCTTTGTGTGGCTGTGGGACAGCTGGATCGGCCCCCAGATCTCACTGATGATGGGTATGACTCTCGGGTCATATGTATGTCCCGTTCTGCATATGGGTGGGCGGACATATCACCCTGGATCCCCAGGGGTGACAGGTGGGCAGGGCCTTGTACGGTTGGAGTTTGGCAGAAGGGCCTCTGGGAGCAATGCCAGGGGGGTCTCCAGCATAAGGGGTAGCAGTCTTAGCAGTCTTGCCCCTGAGCCTCACTCCTGCTGCTATCTGGGCTCTGGAGGGTGGGCAGCGTCTCACATACATGCTCGCTGTCCCTTGGAAGGAGGACTCTGTGGCTGAACATCGGGGGCAAGGAGGCAGCTGCCCCGTCCACATTCCACGTGTGTGTGCCCCTGCCAGGGGTGAGTGGTGGTGTCATGAGGGCCAGGCCCCTGGCCCTCACCTGCCCCTCCTGGGGCAACAGTGGGTGCATCTGCCCATCTGAGATTGGGAGGTGGGGTGACCTATGCGGGCAGGAGGTGTGTCCCGTGGATGAGGGGCTGGGGTATTCTGCTGTCACTCCCATAGACTACTGGTGGTTTCCTGAACTGTGTCCTGGCCCTGGTGCTGCCCCTGGCCTACAGCTTCCAGCCTGACTTGGTGCTGGTGGCACTGGGGCCCACCCATGGCTTGAGGGATCCCCAAGCTGCGCTCCTGACTGCACTGCTGCGGGGCCCAGCAGGGGGCCGAGTCTTGGCCCTCATAGATGAGGTGAGTTATGCCAGGTGGACATGCTATGGGGTGGGATATGGGAGAAACCAGTGATCACTGCTTCCATCTCTGCCCCTGGCCCAGGAATCCACACCCCAGCTTGTGGGGGTCCTGGCCGGGGTGCTGCATGGAGAGGCACCCCCTAGCCTGGGCCCCTTCTCCATGGCCTCCCCAGAGGACATGCAGGCCCTGATGCACCTGAGAGGGCCACTGGAGCCACAGTGGAAGATGCTGCAGGTGGCCGGTGAGGCTGGGGTGGGGGTGGTGAGGCTCAGGGTGAGTGCTTAGGGCCTTGGGTGACAGTCCTGCCTTAGAGCTCTGGGGAGAGGGGCTCTTGTCCTGGTGAGTGAGGTGCTGCCCTGAACGAGCTTATAGCCTTGTGAAGCTGATTGTGCACCTCTTCTCAGCGTCTCCTTGAGTGCTGTGACCTGGTAGCTTGAAATCCGCCAGGAAAGGCGTATTTCCATGCTGGATAAGTCACTACAGACCGGTCCCCAAGAGCCGGTTGTTAACTGTTCACCAGCACACCTCTGCCTGAGGCTTCTGTCCCGAGGGCCAGGCCACCCGGCTGCCAAGGACACCGGCTCAGGGGCTCCATGCCCCCTGCAACGGCCTGGAATCCCTCTCCGGGACCCGCCTCTCCCGAACAGCCCCTGCCTCGCTCCCTCCAAGCCCAATAAGTAAACGTCAGCTCAGCGAAAATCTGACTCCGCCTCCTTTATTGAGCCCGCCGCCCGCCTCAGTTTCCCACCAACCTGAACGGGGCTCCGGGCCGGAAGCGCCCTTGGACCGCGGCCTCAGGCTCCGCCCCCTCCGCCTTGGCCGCTGGCCTCCCGCGTGACGCAATTCCTTGGCGCCGGCTCTGCCGTTGGGCCCGT